ATCCATATCTTTCACTTAGTCCCTCGTATTTCATTGGTGGACATTTTCTTACGTTAACTTTGTCCCCTTGTTTATTCACACCATTACCAGTGGTCACTTCCAGCCGTTACGTAACACTTTACAGTTGTTTTTCTTTATTTCATTCTTGTATTTATATGATTTTTCACACTACTGGAATGTGACTAATCTCCAATTGATGGTTATTTGAGATTTAGTTAACAAATATACACCCTTTCATGCCCCAGATCGATGTATGTGATGGATTTTGATCACCAGATTTTGCCTCAAGTCATGATCATTCAGTTTCATATTGATTTCATGATATTAGACTGATTACCATTCCATTCGAAAGAAGCTTACATACATTTGATCTCCATTCTTCCATAAAACTGTCTGTTTTATTATTGAAATAATTTTACATTACGCCTTACACTGATTATTGTATTCAGCCTATTCTCATATATTTGTGACGATAAGGCCTTAAGATGGAGTTATAGGAACTAGTCTTTCGCTCCAATTATTCTGGTTCTGAAGCAGAATGATCAAGTCATAATTGTTCACTCCGACTTGGCTATAACAATTATATTTTCATTACCTAACAAAAAAGTCCAGTGGTTAAATGAAGTACAGCAGGGATGTAGAGAAGATTCCTTTTTAAGTCCATGGTAACCTTTTGAATTATTCACTAGACAGTGTTTTTTCTGAGCATATATATCAATTTTCTAGGGAAAATTTCGAGCAGTTGTTTTTTTCTATTCAATAAAATTTGCATTTTTAGGAGTTAAAAAGTATACACTAAATTAAAAATGCATTCATCCATCTATCAAAGTGCTTTTCGAGACGAATAAAATAGACATTTTCTCATTCTATGGTGAATGCTTTTCGTCTAAAATCATTCATGTATTATATAAAGGTTTTACTTGCTTATATACTTCAAGTTTAATTCGTATCCCTTTGAAATAATACAGCAAAATGTATTTTTAATACTCTCCACACGTTAATGGCATTAATTTATTTCTCAATTTCAAATATTTAATGTTTAGTAGACGTTTTCTTCCAGTCGCTTGATTAGGACCTGATATCAGCTTGAGGACTGTTTACCAAGGACATTTTTATTATTAATCAGCTCTCCATTGTGATAGCAGCAAGTAAACATGCTTTGAAATTTGAAAATATGTAATGCGGTAAGCAAAAAAATACATGGGGATGAATTTAGAAGATTAAAGTAGGTGGGAGACCAGTGTTTGCGATAAAATAAGATAAACAGTGAATGCACCATTACAGTCAGAAATCCCCAATTTTTACAGTTCAGTTGACTTATATGCAGACAGAGAGAGAGAGAGAGTCGAATTTACCCTCATTACTCACTAGTATTGAGTGTTAAGGCACAATGAAAGTCTGTCGATCAAGTCTTCTTTGTGGCCATTAAACTAATTAACTCAACATTGACGTCACTCTATTCTGATGTTAAGTGTTTGAAGTCAATCAGTAGGAAGCCCTGGACGTAGATTCATGTCTTTTTGTAGCCACACTAGGAAAATGATCAGTAGACTTCAGTCCGTAACTGATACCGAAAACGAAATAACCGAATTAGCTACCCAGTGGAAACCAATTCTTATACATAATCTAGTCTTAAGAACCGCCAGTCAAGAACTGAGAAGCTTGTTGTGGCTTGTGTTCGGTTTCGGCATTGGGTTAAGCAGGTTAGGATCAGCGAAGGAATATTAGTTTCTTTTCCGACTTTTGCCAACAAGGACGAATTCTACGTTTAGTGCTTCCTGCTCACTGATATTCAGTGTTCAAAGGTTAGCTTTGTTTAGCTCAGTTTATCAGTAAGAGAGTTTACGCATGTGTTATGATTTAGTCTGAATACTAAATTATTATGCCATATAACGTAGTCAATGCTAAATCTTCTCTTACTACTAAATGTGCCGTATTATAATCTGAAAACCGAGAAATCTGTGATCTCATTATGTGCAAAGAATCCTGTATAGATGCGTGCTCATTCGAATAGAAACTTCACTTACATACAGTGAAATGAATGATCTCAGTCGTTTTTTTTGCCTGTAACCAATTATAATTCTGCTTACTTTTATAAGTAATTTTCTTGTTTGGAGGTTATTTTCTCTGTAAGAGACCAAATTAGTCGTTACAAACTGGTTATTTGAGTTCATTCTGTTGTTATAAGTTGAAATTAAAAAAATCTACATTTTATTCGAATGATTTAATATTGAGGAGGTATAAGACTTCACCATACTGTAGAAATATATGGTTTCACCCAACGTACTGGTTAAGGCTCTTGCAGTAAGCACAAAGGGATCCGGCTGCTGTCCATCAAGTCTTAACATATTGACTTGAGGAAATTGAAAGCTTAATTCGTCTCATGCCGTTAGACTACTACGTAATGCTTATATCTAAAGTGACTATTCACTCAGTTAGTAGCTTTCACAAATTCTGCGGATACAAGAATATGAGTTAATTTTTCTTACGCATTAAGTACTATATTTGATAGGCATTTGCTTATTACTGACTTGGCCAAAATATTCATGACATTTTTACTCATTTATATTTTCTTATCCGTTCATATTGACTATCTATACTTCATTTTATTTTCGTCCATAATGTTTTGTAGGTGTTGCAATCTGAAACTGTTCAGCAGTCTGTATGTTTTATAAATGTTGCTTTAAACAAACAAATTAATTCATACTTTTTATTTCTAAGTGTTGAAAACTGCTAAAAATAAGCAGTTTTGACTGCATTCTTCGCTATCTTGTTTGTTTTAACGTTGTGGATTTCATAATTACTGTGTTGTGGGCACTGGGTAAAAAAAACAATTTTAAATTCACAACATTCTCTTAAAGACTGGATAATTTATGAAGAATAAGGGTAACCGAGTGAACTGAACACCCACAACTCGCGTCAGGGATCCAACCTAGGACATTCACGTCCCCCATTGAGCACGCTTCTAACCTAGCGAGTCAACAATAATATGCTTGGCACATTGCTTGAAGGTGCTGAGTAAGACCTCTGGAAGGCTACTGGGTGCTTACTGCTAAGAAGTATTATGGTGGGGCAAAACAGTTGTCTAACGCTCCTGAGTTTTTAAGGTTCCCCAAGTGACATCAATCCATGATGGATATGAGTCAAGAATCAATCAAATCCCCACAAACTCCAAAACTAAAATTAAGTATAGTGCCCGGAAAACTTGATTTGGCAATATCTATAACAGCTATTTGAAAAATTCATCATACATATATAATTTTATAGAGTAGTAGAATAGAACTACTGTTTGAATTTATAGTCTATCAAAACCAATTTAAAGCCCTGGGTCAAACAATAAACCTGTCCCACTGATCTATGACGAGTGTATGAAAAGCAGTATATTCTAAATTTTTGCATGCACTTCCAGAGCTTTTCTATCAACTTTAATGTGAATGTTTTCGAGTAATTTCCTTTCTGCTTTTTGAAGTTTTGTTCTTTGAAAAAACTCTAACAGTCATGGGGAAATTTTTCCCAAAAGTCATTCATCAGTCAGGTATAAATTAGGAAATAAATTGCCTTTTTAAAAAAGCGCATAAAACATATATTCCATCCTTTCCTTTATTCAAGTAATTTGTGGCAAATAAAATGAATTGGTTATTCAAAACCAAGGAAAACTATATGCTCAATCTTTCATAGGAAACGTTTCAGTTTGGTTAATAAGTTTGAGTTTTGCCAGTTTATTGCACAGTTCGTTGAAAACAAAGTAGGTCAAGTTTCCATATCATTTTTTTGCACAAACAAATTTTATGTTTAGTTCGACACGCTTGCCCATATTCCTCCATCAGTGGCTGAATTTACTGCGATACAGATCTTGATCATTTTATCCCCATGTATTTAAAGCAACGCGTTTTTTTTGAACTCACTTTCCATACGAACATTGTTGTGCAGAGTATCGTTTACAATAACTTATGAGTATTTGTTCAGTTACTGTCTTCAGATTTAACAGCGTTCACTTACCTTCGGCTCACCAATCACGTTTTGGAATTATAGGGAATTCTGTCTGCAAATATTTAGACCTATTTAGTGAAATACGTTTCTTGATCTAGGCTTGTACTGTTCGGTACTCGTGGCTTTAGATAAGTCAAAATCTACCGGAAAATTTATTACCCGTCTTCCATTACTGCTGTTTTACATGTTCTCAAGTTCGGTTGGATCATTGCGCGAATAATGTCAAGGTTAGGTGTGGAGTCTTAAATAAGGAGAGTTTCGGTTGATAAAGCTACGAATCCCCACCAACGTAGCAGAATTGAACATATTTCACGCACGCTAAGCCACCGCTTACCGTGACCTGTGATACGAACCGAAGTAGGATTAGGTTGCGGTAAGGATAAGTGTGGGTAGAACAAGATATGTTCCTTGCCGTCGGAGTATTTGACTGCTAAGCTGTCATTTTAAAAGGTTCAGACTGCCCAAAAGGAGTCTTTGAGACATTGGGATACTCTTGGTGAAATGGCTCAAACCCAGTCATAGTGGTGTAGATGCATGCACCCTTTGTCATCTTCGAAGTCTTGAATATTTTTAATAACTGGCCTATTCATTCTTCTTATTCTGCTATATATCTTATCCGACTTTTGTGCCACTATTTTCTCCCCACTTCACTGGCTGGATGTTACCATTACACATTGCAACATGAACTGACGCAGTTCTGTGCCAGATTCTATGTGCATTTGTCTGACTGTTTAAGAGATGACTTTTGAAATTAACTTGGGCTCATAGTAGCTTAAATATCTGTCTCGAAGATATATTTACACTTTCACTCCTTAATGCTTTTACTGTGATCAGTAGATGATTCTGGTTGACGATAAGATTACTACTGTGTTAACATTATTCTGAGTTTTAGGTAAGTTCGGTAGCTGTGGCATATAAGAGTTACTGTTTTGAGGGATTTGTAAATAGATTTTAGTTTTTTATTTATGGTTGAGTAGCAAATAAACTATAGTGAGTGTTTTTGTTTCCGGATGGGTTCGCTTTCTAGTAATAAAGTAGTTTATGTGAATAAGCATCCGGAAGTTGAAAATAGTTGTCATAATGATCGACGTGACGTAAGTTTCAATCGCATCATTGTCTACGTGTAAAGTATATATATTTACAGAGGGAATGGGTGACGGTGGATTTTGAATCCTTAAAATCAGTCAACACCGATCATCACAAAACATAGATAGAAGAGGTATTTTGTGTATATGTAACTCCGAACATGATGAACTGTGATGTCAAATCACTAGGAATAGTGTTTTCTGTTGAAACGTTTTGGCGACAAAATCCATCCAGTAATGAAGCAAAAATAGCTCGTTATCGATAACTTGTCAATAATTGAACGTAGTCGGAATTGCTATCAATACTGCTTACTTCTCAAACTTCGAGCCGGCACGCATGACCAGCATTCTTCGCCTGCTTCTTGTTCTCTTCGTCGTGATCATAACCTTTAGGAATCTGAAGTCGGTTTATCTTTTTCTGAGCTTTACAGAAACATAATATAAAGTGGACGTGAAAAACAGTGAGATAAATTAAAACTCAAGTGACAGTCATATCATTCTATCTTTATTTTATAATTTTTGACCCGTAATAATCTAGTATAACTTTCAGTTAACAAGATGACCTACATATTTGTGAATTCTGCGATGACAGTTTCATTTTATGAAACATCTTCTCACATATACACATCTTGCTACATTATAATTTACTGAAATTTACTTGAACTATAATAAGTTCTCTGTGAGTTTATTTATTCCTGAAAACTTCGGCTGATATCAGGTTATAATTTACAGTTAAATTTGAAATTATTGTGACCTTATTTAGCCGGAAAATGAGTATAAGGAAGCTAAAATGTAATCTTTAAGAGAACTAATTCCTTTATTCAGCTTCCGTCTTATTAGGTCAATAGTTTGCATACGCTGTTACTATACCTTTTTTAGAGAGTAAAGGTATACACTGGAGTGGAATATTACAGATAAATTTCATTGTTTCGTTAGTTATACTCAATTAAATACAACCTATAAGGTAACAACAAATAGCCTGTAAGATTCTGACGCAGTTTTGTTCGTCCACCAGAAACCGATTGGCGAGTGAAACGAAACATGACAGTAGCATAACGATATAGAAAACAGTAAGAACTAAAATAAAGGTAAAGTATGACCCTACAATGTCATAAACATTTATCCAAGTGTGTCATGAATTTGCCGCGAAAAAATACCTAAATTATACCACTTTTAGTTACAATCACATTCCAACAACACAGCAAACATAGCCCGTTTTGATTTCAAGATCTTCAGCAGTAGAACGTATAAGCCCTTTCGTCGTCTATGATCTCAGTCTTGCATTTTTATCAAGACACTTTTTTCTGTATCACTGGGTAGGGATTCAAGCTAGAAAGTCACCTTTCGGGCAGAGCACATTAAGGGATCATCAAATTATTACTCAGAAAATGAAAACACTGTCGTTATGTGAGTAACTGTGACTGCTTTTATTATCCGTCTGATTTAGCTTAATTGGTGATCAATTCTGCAGTCCATGAGAACCGAATAGGCGTGCTCAAATATGTAACCAGCCATAGTATTCCAGTAGCGAAAAAGTGTTTATTTGACTACTGAGGTGTTCTGATGAATCTTTTAAATAACTGTTTTGTCGGTTGATTACATTCTCCTGGTGTCATTTTTTGTTTTTATGCATTGGCAACTTAAATTGTGCAACTAAAATACTTAAAGCTCCAATTTTCATCCTCATGACTATTGTTATTACATCGATAAAATTTCGACAATATATAAGTTATAACAATTCAGTGAGAACAACGCTTTCAGCAAATAGATTACAAAAATTACACAGCACATTTTTAATTGACAGGTTAGGAATTAAAACGCACCACTTTCACCTAGACAACTCCACAAGAAATTATTCTGTATTGTTTTTATGCTTAACTGTTTTTATTTTTCACCACTAGATAAGTATTACAGATTTGAATTCGTCACCAACTGACGTCGGTTGGAGAAACATTGGAAACTTGGGAGCATTAAACAGTCTGTTTCACCCCGCCATAAGGCTCCTAACCAGTGCACACCCATAACCCTTCCCGTGAATCGGACCTAGAACCTTCAGGTTTCTTGACCAGCACGTTGCTACTGAACCACGGGTTGGCATCCAGTGGTCCACGTTTCCTAATTTTGTCAGTCTGCGATTCAGAGCGACGACCATCCAACGAGGTCGTTGAGCAGTTATTTTCGTGTGCAACTTGGTTGGACCCAACCGGTCAAGACTTCCCATTAGAACTTCAGGATTCTCATCTCAAAGCAAGCCAATAATGAAGAGTAGAGTAATTCAGGTTTGGAGGTTTGTGGGGATTTATTGACTGATTTCAAGTTGGTATTCATCATCAACTGAAATCATCTGAATAATATTAGTTATACTTATAATATCAGCAATTACATTAATAATGCTAATTAAAGGAGATAATTATTGTCGAAAGAAAGAAAGATATCACAGAGCGTTGGCGTAGTTCTTGTTGTGACTCAGATTTTTTAATTTATACCTCAACACTATTCACATAAATTGAGATTAGATTGCAAAATCCTAATCAGCTCATATTTACATTTTTTGGCAACTGTTTCAGACAGTGTAATGAAAGAACTTCCTTAAGATCGTTTATCATATGCATCAAATGCAAGTAAAAGGTTATACCAAGCTATCCCTGGCGGATGTTTCGCACATGGGTGATTATTTTGAATGCAAAAGCCGTTGACTATGGAGCCGTAAAATATAAACATAATGTTTAGTATAAAATTAGAGAATACTAGTCAGCTGAACCCGTGTTAGGTTATATGTGTATTTCATTTAGCAGTTAAAACGAGTTTATAAAGAAAAACCTATTTTACTGTACTTGTTAAAGTATTATCTGAATAATTTCTGTTTATTTTGTTTGTGAATCTAAAAGGTTGTGTTTTGTGGTTATATGGACTGACTAAAACTCGCTGGAATGTTCAAAGTGAAAATCGCATCACCCGACCCGGTTCACTTGCAAGTGGGATCAACTTATTGCGATCCACATCAAACTTCAATAGATTGAACAATGCTGCTAACAGTTATACTGCTGATAATAAATTTTGTAAATTACTTTCTAGTGCATCAAACGCTTTAAAACAGACAGCAGCATCTAAACCACTGGATTATTCATCAATTCGATTGCCATTATCAACTTGTTGCACCGACCAAGGTTACTTATCAGATACACATTACAAATCTAGTTGTGATTATAACCATTCATCGTATATTCTTGATCGTGAAGTTGGTCTTGCGGCTAGAATTGGTGGATCATGGATTTCAGCCTCAGGATCATTTAATTCTTCATTGGATGCTAGGAGCAGCACTAAAAGTTTTCATAGTGCTGGAAAATTTGATTCTCCAAGTAGAACAAGCAATTTTAATGATTTCTCTCACAGGTCTTCACAACAATTCACAACGAAAGATACATTATATGATTCAGCATGTATTCCTAATTTTTGTTTAGAACAATGGAAAAAATATTTGAGTTGGATACAGACAAGAAGAAATGTATATACCATGGGGATTTACAATTAATTTACAAATCAAAAGTTGACTTACTTAAACAATATCAGCATGTTTTATCCAGTAAAAGTGATCAGTCTACAAGAAATAGTATTACTGAAATCGTTAAAAACATCAGGCATAAAGATGATGATAATTTAAATGTAAACTGTGACGGCAATGAATCTCCCAATGAAGTGCCAAGTTTCGATGAAAAGACAAATAGAAGTGGATTACAGCAACAGCATAGTATTAGTAAGAGATATTATGAATTGTTGAATAACATGAATGATAAATCACTGACATCAGGAGATAGAAACGCCAAACTAAAACCGAAGTTTATATTAACACGTGGAATACATGTATTTGATTTTGAATTTCAACTACCAGCAGATTTACCTGGTTCATTTGAATTACCAACAAACTGTTTAGCTGGTGGAGCATCAGCTAGCATTACATATGCCGTACGCCTTGAAATATGCAATAATCGTTTGAAAATGAGACACATACAACAAAGAGAAATAATTGTATTCAGACCTTTGGAATTGATACATTTTCCAAGACTGAGGGTAAGCTTATTGTCAGTTTAAATTTATATCATATTACGAAGCTATATGAAAAACTGTTATAATTGTTGTTTATTTACTGATACTTTATTCAACGAAATGTTACTTAGGGTGACCTAATTGTTTTCTGTATGAAACGGTTCAAACTAAAAATTAGTGGAAAAATCATCTCACCTATTCTCTATATCTCATCATAACTCTTGACAATATTTTAGCTCTCTTCTTATTTGGATTCATTTAAACTGCTGCTGTTAAGATAAGCAAGTGAGGGTTTCATTAAAATACATATATTAAAGACGAACATAAAAAAATTGTGTTGAGTTTGGTATTAGTAGTGTTTAGAGAAAGTTGACAGAAAAGATTTTACGAATACTTTAAGCATGGTGAATAATTTGTTTAGTCTTAAGTAAGGTAAATCCCTTGATCGCTGCTCAGTTGAAATAGAATTCAAATAAATATGTGTATCAACTCATAATGCATTGATAAAATACTGAGTTGTAGCTGCAAGGGCTTAAGAACTCAAGAATTTATTCATCTAGTGACTTTGTTTAGAAAAATGAAAAAATACACTCCATCAGTCCGAGGAATAGGAGAAAAGATGTTAAAAAAACTCACCATGAGTCACAAATTTATCTTCTGAATTTGATGTACAGCTCTTGTTACTTACTTGAAATATATCTTAGAAATCATGGCATGCAAAACACCTTGTGATTCAGGTCAAAATGTAACATTACCGAATTATTTTACTGCTATCTTACACATACCAGATTAACTTTTCTCAAAGTAAATTGCGATACCTTTTGGAAATATCAACATGGAATAAGTGATCACTTCTACCATACAACACCGACTGCTATGAACCACAATGCATGTAGTTCAATTTAAACTTTAAGAAGTAGAGGTCTTACGCAGGAAAACTGCAGGTAATGTCAGTAAGTGTTTAGGAATAGCAGTTGTTAAGTGTACGGACATGGATTCACGCTATCAGGCAATGAAGAAGCTATTTCCTGCAACGTCACAGCAAGTTTCATCAACCATAATGTAAATCCATTCATTTTTTTCCTCATGATGTTATTTTGATAGTCATAGCACAAGTGAATAATCTGTTATATTTTCAAAAACTACTGGATGTGAACCACAGTTGATGTTGATCATATTCGGGTTAGCCAATAGCAAACTTGTTCCATTTCTAATTCTCTAGTTAAGCAATAGAAGAGAAGAATCAAATTCTTCCTGGGAACTTGACAGTCTGCACGTTTAGCATTCAAAAATTTAGATTAATCATAGGTTTTAAATGAAAAAGCCTACTTTAAAAAGTTAAGCCAGAGCAATAAAAAAGGTTCGGTTAGTTTGACAGTAAACATAAGAAGAAAACTGATAAGTGAAGAATGATAGTCTTCTGTTTCACAAATTAAATAACTGTCATTCTGAAGAGTCTTGTATGCTAACACAACTGATACACTGTTATGTTTGCCAATCAGTTTATGCATACTACAGTAGAGATCTAAATATCAACTAGGAAGCTCAATTTTGAATAAAATGATGGAAGACATTGCTAACAAGCTTTTGTTAGCTAAGGAAGCTGACGATTTTACGTAGTTCTCTTGTTGGATACTTCTTTGGGAAAGTTCAGAGTGCATATAACCACTCCTATATCTTCTGTAATAAGGAAGTGCATCATCTTAGTCGTTTGATACTTGATTTTTCAAAAATATAATCGAAACGAACCTTCAAGAACGTCAGTTTTAACACGAATAACCAAATGTGAAGAAAATGTGATTGAAACTATTTTCATGTTTTCGATTTGTTACTGGTTCTCTGATTCTGCATTAATGCAGCTTTGAAAATTGAACCACGATAATGATAAGATTGTATAATCACATCAGTTTATTGTGTCAGCAGTGTTTTTTGTAGACTTAAAATCAAAGTTTATCGCTTATCTGTTTAACATAAGCTGGGAATCAGAAAGAAATAATGGCTGCCTAAAAAATGAATGGAGGACAACTTTTTGATGAACTCCCCTCAGGTACTGAATGTCTTAATATCGTTTCAGCTTTTCTGATTAGTTGAAACCTTAGTAGAGATATTGTTATATAAGTTAGAGACTAAGTTTGAATTGGCATATGAGGGTTGGTATACTTTCTTTATATACATCAACAAGCATAGAATATCCTTCAAATTAAACTTGGTCATGAAACCTTGTTTTCCATCTACTGTCATATATAGTTATTTAATTTGATGGCCACCTATCAAGCATGATCGAGAAATATTCAGTCAGAACCTAAAAAAAATTGGTACACTTAATGGGTTTATAGACACTATTTACAATGAAGGTATACATTCAATAGAGTTCCAGTAGGAAAGAGCTGATTAGTCCGGATGACATTTCACTCACTTCCACAGGTATTACTTTCTGCGTTTGTAGAAAAGCAACTACTTATGCATACTACCCATCAAATGTTTACAAAACAGCTATCTTTTTAGCGGTGGGATTTTGTTCTCAGTTGATGTGCAGCTATAGATGTTTAAAGTCAGAATAATTAGAAATACTAGTCGAACTCCAAGGTCAAGTTAATTTTGAATTTCTGAAGTCTGATAATTTGCAAAAGAGATTTTTAAATATAGATAATAAACCACACTGAAGGTGTAAAGCGGCTTGTCAATGTTTAGTTTTCTTTCATTTTTCTATATTTTGTCAACTGTGTTATGAACAACTGAGAGTGAATAGTATAGAAGTTGTTAAATACCTGTAGCCTTATTATTATGAAAAGCAACGAATGGAGTGAGTAAGCGTTTTTTGTTTCAAGTAGCCTCTAATAATAAAAATAACCGCAAGTACACTGCGTTTCTCAAACAACAAATAATTCAATTCAGTACTGATAGGTTAATCGCTAAGGAATCATCAATTTCTAGATATTAAGGGGATGATTCTAAGTTGAAGAAATTATGATGGTAACCGAACAAATAATTCAGCATACATAGTAGAACTATAAAAAGCAGGTCATCTTATGATTGGTGGATTATTTTATGATAATGATGATGGTGATTAAGGATGGATGACTTTCTTCCATTACTCGCCGTCAAATCTAGTAACGTGTGGATAATCAACAGACACGTAGGTAAAGGAAAATGATCTGTTTAAAAAAATCCAGTAGTGGGTTTTGAAGCTGTGGGTTGACGATGCTTCAGTTGAGCGTAAAGGTCTTATTTTCACTTACTTGAATTACCTGATCAGAAGTTGAAATGTATTCTGGGCGATGTGACAAGTGGAACCTAATATTTTGAGTTTAGGGGACGTTATGTCTTATGCCTTGCTTCTAACATCTAAGCTAGCTACACAGTGTCCATGAATGAGTCTTTGAAGTGGGTGTATATGTAACGGCCAGCTGTTGATAGGTTCCCTTCTAGCCTGTAGATAGGTACGTTATTGTAGGTGGGGCATAGAGCATTATGAGTTTAATAATGGCCACGAGAATCTGGAAAATAAAAGAAGAGAAAAAGGTGAGCCGACGACCCAGCAAGTACACAGGATTTAATTAAACTTAATAATATAAGATAACTGACAAACAATACATCTGGACAACGAAGAGGTGAGACAGTCTAGAAATCAAAACTGGAAGGTGAATGAGTAAAATTTTGAATGCTTTACAACGGTAGGGACAATATTCTCAGTCTTGAAGTAATAAACCTAGGTAGGAGGTGGTGTCACCTTTGAATTCTTAATGTAAGTAAGATTACTGTATCGACGGCCAACCTAAAGAAATATTCTTTACGGAAGTTTCAAAAATATGCTATTCAGTTTGTTCGAGCGAATCCAGGTGGCTTTGGCAGGACACAATCAATGAACTTCTAAGGATAATTAAAGTTGACTTGCTGGAATAAACAAATTCAAAGGTTTTGCCAGCATCAGCTCAATATTTTAATTTGATCGGCTATGCAGGTAATATATCTTTTGTTTATTTTGTCTGTTGTTCGTTCAGTTACCACGGTTGATGTATAGAAATAAAATGACGATATGTTCTTATGGTATGTCTTATATTAAACTTGTATACATATGTAGAAGGTGGAGATAACCCAGACGTTAGTTATTAAAAATTTTTCATATCGCATATACAAACTGACCGTCTAGTGAAATCGTACTTCAAGCTCGTCCCAGTTTATCATTAACTCCACAAATGTTCCACTTTTTACCAAGGAAAGAATGTAATGTAAGGAAAGGAAAGTAATGTAATAAATTATGGGCGATTAAATTTATGCACTTGATGTTTGTCACTCAGCGACAGATTTAACCCTTGCCGTGAATGAGAGATAAGAAGTTCCTTTTCTCTGCATGAAACTGATGGTTAGACAAATGGAACATTGGTGTGATAAATTTGTAAAACTCCTGCAAAAAGTGGTCGGCTGAAAAATTTCTAAAGCTGGTTGCCCATTTCATTCAAAAGAAACCTAATTGACCTTGTCTTTATTTGTCCGTTAAATGTTTGCAGCTCAGATGATCTAGAGAAACATATAACCCTTTCAAGAAAAGTTCTGACCAGAAGTGGTTACCCACCACTATCTATATACAACAAATCAGACAGAACTTGGAATAAATTACTTGCCTTTTATGTCGAGAAAGAAATGAATATGAATCTCGAGTTGAAAGTTTTCACAGTGGCTGATATCTTCAAGAGGACGATTTTAAAATCCCTACATAGAAAGGTTCTTACAGGAATATTTGCAGTAGAATTCCCCAGCTATTCTTCTTTTCCGTAAACCAATAGGCTGGTGTTTCAAGTCTTACCAAAGTAGGTCACACTTTAGAAACCATTTTTTCGAAAGCAATATATATTTCCCTTTCTTTTACTGCTATAGCTCTAGCTATTCACATGGACAATTCGGATTTTTATTTCTTATGTAATATGACCACAGCGTATTCATTAAGTTATTTTGATAGCAGAGCATTTCTTAATTATTTTAAAATACTCAGCTTGTTGTTTAGAATTGTTCACCTCCATCAAATTTTGAATGGACATCGGCTAATATTTACTACAATTATCAATATTTAGTCCTACTGAGTCACTGTAAGTATCCTTGTTTATTGCCATTTCTAAGTGGAAAGTAGTTTGTGAGACGCAACACAATAAATTTCTGTAGGCGTAAAGTGTAAGAGCTGCGAGTGTTAATGGTGAGAATGAAATTGGCGGGAAAGCTTTATTAGGGGTTCACTTATTCTTTATGCAGTTGTTCAATTTGATGAACGTGAGGCATACAGTAGGAACAATATTTTTACGTTAAGATGATATTATCTTATGTAATATGATTTTCAACAGTTGCCTACATTGTGAATAAATAGGTATACAGTCTTTGTAACCAGTTCAATCCCGCTTTTTATCATGTGTCTTGATATGCCAATTATTGTTTTGAAGATCAGAAAACGCATTTTAGTCTGGAAGTGAGGGGATATTGAAATAACAAGGTTCAGCTAAACTGGGGTTATATTATATAATGTAGGGCACAAAAAGTTTTGAAATGAGTAAAACCAGATACGATATAGGGTCAAGTGACTTCATAATCATGCGAGAAATATCGGCACAAAACGATTTATGAATGAGAAAAATTGTGGCAATGATAACATGTGCAAAGATAATGAAACAGTAGATTTTGTATTACAAATGAAGAGATCCAGTAGATCACATTTGAGCAAGTTATGATACATGATTTAGAAAAACACTTCAGTTAACTAGAACAGCTGTTCATTGTTGTCACCATAACCAAAACGTTTGCTAACCTAGGGAAGACAAAATCAGGTAATTGATCAATTAGTCAGAATATGCTGGCCAAAATGCTTATGAAGAGTTTGTAATTTTTACTGATTTTCAACTTGTGTTAAGCATTATGGCCAGAATAATATTTGAAGTAAGGAAAACTAACATTTGAACAAGTACATGTTTGGTACTCAGAAGGGCCTGTTCAAATATCGAAATAATCCCATTTGAATATAGGGAAACACAGAAAATGACTGCAGCTAGGAGACATTCTTATTTTCAACAAAACCATTCTCTGAGCTGTACATACGTGAATATATGGTAGGACGGTAGAACATTCGGTTAACTTCTAGTCAAAGGTTAATATAAACTGGGCCATAAAGGAAATTTACGTAATGGTTATAAATGATTACAAAAAAGAAATAGTTATATCACATGTGGGTTATGTTAGTTATTATCATATTATACTACAGCGCACGAAAATCATCTTTATATACCTTGAGCACTTCATATCAAGTAAGTGTTAGTGAGAGAATTTCCCCTGATGACTCGTAATTGCCACTGTTTGGAAGAGCTTAAAAGCGGTGAATCACTTACTCTTAACAAATATTTTCAGAACCAGCGACCACCGGGTTACCGGTCCGAATCCGGCCGCGGTCCAGATTTTCATCTCACCTTTAATCATCACCCAGCAAAAAATATTAGTCTACCAAACTGCGGCTATGTTAGATAGTCAAATCATAATCATTAAGAGTTTTTCTCAAAATAATACTACAGTTGCTTGATTGATGAAACTTCTCTATAGAAACGTTTGCTGTCAATTTAACGAGTTGTTAGTTGTATGGAGGTAGTCGGGCTTCTGTCAGTTGCCTCTGTCCAACTAACATCTATCAAAGTGCATCACGATGGTGAGCCTCCCAGCCTGGTGGGCACGTCTCAAAATGCTTGACAGAGTTCGATCAGCACTTAGGACTAGAAAACATAAAGTTACCGTCCAGTGACCAATCAATACATTCAATGGACCATTTAGTTTAGCCACTGGCAAATTAACTGAATGCTACCAGGAGGTTCTAATTACACTATTAGCATACTTTTAAAATGAACTTTTGCATATAACTAATTTGGAGTCATTACAGTTCTAGTACCACATCATCGTTGTGTAGTGTATTAATATTAGGTTGGGAAAAACATTTTATGGTGATATTAACCTTTTCAAGCAAAGTCAGGTGACTTATTCAAAACTTCATGTTAATTCAGCTATACACCATATAGCAATTAGTAATGCCAGCGTTACTTGTTAGTGCTTGACAAGATGAACTGATACTAAGAGTCAAAGAAGGAAAGACGGTAGAACTTTAAAAGCTAACTCAGGGGATGATGGAATCGCTTTAGTAAGGCTACTGATGAAAAATCGTGTTGAAAACATCATCCAGTAAACAAACTTGTATCACTGTTTGTTGTATCAGAGAAACTGGTTTGATAAGAAACTGCGTCATTGGGTGCTTTGCAATTTTGATTTTTAATCGTTATAACAATTATTCGTCTGATAGATGATTATATCCACTTTATTCTGCTCTTGCTTACTGTATGAAGTTAACAGATTCATTGTATGAACTGCAATCACTTTGCTGAAGATATAGTTTTCAAATTTTTCCTATCTACAATTTAATGGCTTGTACTTTGATTTATCACACAACAGTCCACCTGAAGCAAGCGTACACTAGTTAGAGGTCACATCAGTATTGAACTGAATACAGATTCTTAATAAGAATATTCAGCTATTTGACCTAACTGTCTGGATTACTCACAAGCTGTTTTTCTGTAAGAACCAGCCAATTCCATCTTACCAGTGAGGGATTGTCTAAAGTATGGTGATTAGATAAGACAGCAATAAAATTATTTGCCTTCTTTTAGTGATGTAAAACACCGGCAAAATTCCAGAAAGAATTAAGCCTAGAAGCTAAATGACTGAATTTTAGCCCAGATGAATATGCCTGAGTGTCTTAAAGACTGAAATATTCGCAAGATCTGATTATAGTTTGCTGTGGTAAAATAGTAACGGCTATATATATATATATATATATATATATATATATATATATATATAAACAAAGCTAATCAGCAACCTTGACTTAGAAACGTAGGCCTCTCACACTCATCGACACTTTTACCTGCGAGCTGTTTTGTTTCGTTGCATTCACGTAATTCTGAAAGTATAAAAGTTTGATTTTTCGTACTTAGTAGTGAAAACTTAGCAAGATTTTGTTAATTTAATTAAGTAGGTTTCATGATAAACTTTGAAATATTTAGTTTGACTAGTTTTTGTCTTTTCAAATGATCTTCCATCATTTAATTTACGAATCATTTCCTGAAAGGGAAAAACTAGTAAATTTCGAAGGAGCCTAGTGGTCATTATTCACTGAGATTTGATTCTTACTGGATGAAACTAATTAACTCATTGTTTAAGAATTCAAGTGATTATTAAGAAGAACGAAACAAGTAGCTACTAAAATGGTCATTGTCTTTCGTTAATAGATTGGTTGCTTAAACGCAAAATATGCAGCAAACATGAATGAGTTGCAGAACCGAGGTTTACTGAGGATAGTTAACTAGCTCTTAAGGTTGTGCTTAGGTTCGCACCAATACATCAGTTGACGGATTTAATCATCAGATTGCTCAAACATCCCAATAGTTAGCCAGCTAGAGTCTTAATTCATAGCTATTAGTAATAAACAGGTGAAAAACATTGTGCCTGGAAAAAATCTACAGCAAAAGCAAAGGAAAATACAGAAGTTTGATTGATCTGGTGGTCTGGTCCTCATGGAGTACTTTTAGGTAACAGTTTCAAGTAAGCAATCATAAAACTAAGTATCATACTGCATAAGACTAGTGCCTTAGGCGTATATTAAAGATATAGTAGCATTTAACCAAAAACGTCTCTGTCAAGTTATATCTAAGATACATAATAGAGCTTTGTGTATTTATACACTAAATGTAACATGGATGCTAGCAAAAACGTGGGTCGTAACAAGATTTGTTCGTAAGTAAATAATATCACCTTGCTTGAATTATACTTAGCATAACTATTCTTCATATGGCAATGTGAAATGACTTCAAATAAAATGTCACAACAGCGGTTACCACAGTGAAATGAAATAGATGTGAAAATGATCATCTGTAACTTTGACAATACGTAGTTTTACGCAGTGATTGTAGAAAACAATTTATGTCCCCTCAAAAATTCGACCAGAACCAATCAATTATACGCAACTGAAAATGTACTTTAGCATAATTTATTTACTTACAAAAACTGAAGAGATAACCAGTCACATGATGTATAATGACATCAAGATTTATGCTAATCATACAACTGGCGACACAAAATGACGAAGTGTGACTGAAAAGACATAAAGTCGTTTTCTACACATTTTTTTGATTTTTTCCTGAACATTCAGAATCGAAGAAGAAATATTTGAAGTCATTAAGTACACGAGAATATTACTGACACCTTAGTTTACTTCTAAAGAAAGATATCTAAGAAAATTCCCTTATTATTTGGTTTCATAGTATAGAATGATTTAAGCGAGAAGCCTTAGTTCAACTTCCTTAAGGTCACCACATACTAAACATCGAGGGGCTGCAAGGAAGGTTTTTCTGGCTCTATAGTCACCTATATCGTCCTCAGGTTATTATTCCTGGAAGGTTCCTAAATTTTCAGAGAACCAAATATCCCTGACATTCAGATCTGTCATCGGGAACAACTTTCAGAGGATATTCTTGAATCACACTTGACGTATTCCTATATCATAATTTAGAGGTTTGAGACGACTGATTGATTCCAAGGTACTATTCATCACGAATCTACATCACTTGCATTTAATCTTATTTCATGGCTTGCTGTTCAACATTACTAGTTGTTCAGTGGAAAACACCGTACGGTAAACGGTGTGGTCAATCCTTTTGTCAACTTCATGCAAATAACTGACAGGCAGAAAAAGTTGTTCACTTATTTTTTTGACAATAAAGTGAGCCCTGTTGAATGATGGGTTAGTGTGCCAGCAAAATGTACTAGTGAGACAGATAGTTTATTTAGTTTATCACATGACAGGTAATTTACAGTAAGAAAAGTTTTATTTATTGCAAGGTAACATTCAGTCATCCTGAGCGGACTTGAATGCTGGTATGGTGACTAGAGTCACTGACATTCTCTGACAGCCTACATGGTTGCAGAACAAAGTGATAGAAAGCCCATGGTTTTACTTATTCTTCGTCTTTAATACCTGAACTTTATAGAATAAGTATTTTTCAACCTGTTAAGTCCATATCATACAACCAGGTAGCTCTCAAAAGATAAAATTTATTTGATTAACTTAGATCTCATAAGAAAATCCCATCTACAAAAATTCGCCTTCGTACGAAATGAATATGCTACATTCTGTTAAAACGAGTAGCCAATCAGTGAAGCAAACTTTCTTATTTTTCTCAGATCTTTATATGGTGAGGATTATCTAGTCAACGGTTTGTCCCAATCCATATTTAGTTGATCCACTCGGCTAAAACTTCTGATCCAAGATTGAGTTCTTCATGCTTAATTCAGCATAGTTACAAGCCATTCCAAGTCAATAATTGCTTTAGGTGAGGTTAATATGTTGACGAAAAAGACGGGGTGGTCGAAGGAAAACATTTTCAGTCAGATTCTCTTCATCTTCTTTGCAGCGAAATATGTTTTACAAATAATTACAGTTTACTAATAACTCCAAAACCTATATATTAGTGTAGAGCCAATAACGAAAACCTAATAAATAATAATTATCCCTTCACCAAATCTCCCTCTTATTTTGAATGCTTAAATGGTCATTTTCATCTTATTTGGTTGATTTTCGCTACAGAAAATTCACACGCCTTATGTCATATTTGAGTATAAACAGATTTGTTTTCAAAAAGGGTAAATTTTAGCTCAACATTTGTCTAACTGGCTTCACAGATATTTTGAAACGGTGTTAAATTTATTATCGCTCAACGAACAGTAGACCTACCGCTGTAAACTTATAGGTAATGTCTTGGATGCTGCTGGATGGTGTTACATGCTCTGAGGAAATAGTGAATAAGTTCAAGATTCACATTCATGCACTTTTCAATGCACGAAGCATGCAAATTGTAAGAAATTCAGTTTGCATCTTTGAGTGAAACTTATGTTTTGTGGCATAATCCTAGGACGTTCTTCAACTTGGCTACTTCACAGTGAAGAATACCTGTATTTATTTCTCACTTATGTAGACAATCATTTTGCTAGATGAAAATAAAAAGTGTGATCTGATCATTGGTTTTGAAAGGCTTCTTTCTACTAGGACTCTATAGCAACCACATTTAGGTTTCAACATTAAATAGAGTGTGTCTCAGCATGAGGTCGCTCGGCATTTACAGTCACACTGAACCCCTTTCTGATCCCCAGTAATATGCTTTTCATCACCCGATGATGGTTATAAGTACTGAATGCCAACTAAACTAATTACTGATTCTAGAAATTAAAAAGCAAGTTTATTCCATGTTATTTTTATAAATTTTAACAGTCTTTTGTTCTCCAGCTAAAGGTGGTTATGATGGGATAAAATGTGTTAAGGACTTTATTTTCATTAACTTCTGAAGAATCTCAAATAATTTTTGATCGTATTTAGTCTTGTTGTGTTGCTAAGTGTATTGATGTGGTTGAAAGAATTTGATCGAGAAATAAATCTTTAAGTGCGAATCTAAATTTTTGAAATGTTCTACTAACTTACGAACACTGAAGTTTTGTAGAACAAAACCACTTGTACCCTTATTAAGTACTTAGACTTAGACCACTAACTGCTTTACATCATCATTTAATTTAGTGTCAAATTAGCAGTAATCTTTTGGGGACCTCGAAAAGAAGAAATGACACGTGATATATGCTTTAAGATATAGACTTCAGTAAGATTGCTTACGAAAGCATTAGAGTAGTAACACTGTCTTCATTTTGTACCTTATTTTATCTTTTTAATTAACTCCTCAAGTACACCTGTGGCTTCAATTCTGCTTCCCTCATTTGGTACACAATATTCATTTTGGTTATATCGATATCCGGAATTTCAGAATTAGGCAGCCTTCTACCAGCACCTACTGCTTTTTCCGTTAATTCCCTCCAGTAACTGTAAACCGAATTCTTGTTACTTTTTTTCAGCGATTTAGCTCACTTTTCAGCCAAACTGAAGGGTGCTGAACTATAGTTGGTGAGATGACTCAAAACAGAGATAAATT